TGTAGTGATTGGTCAGGTACTGGGTGCGCAGCTTCTGGAAGACGGGCACATATGGCTGACCCTCGGGCGTGGCCAGAAACGAACGCTCCTCCATGCGGCCGGCGAAGTACGCCCACTGCACCACATCCACACTGGGCGTATGCGTCTCAACGCCCGCATTCACCAGCCTCTCCTGGGTCCGTTGCGCCTCGGCCCGTTGCACCGGATCATCGGGATCGTAGTTGGGATGCAGCTGCAGGAACATCCAGGTGCGCAGCAGCGTATATAGCGAGAATTCCGTTTGCATCACATACAAATCGTGGCTAGCCGTGAGCAGAGTCATCAACTCAATGGAGATGTGCCGCAACTGATTGGGATGCTTATTGTAAATGCTAAGTAAGTTGATCTGGAACCACTGGAACGTGGACTTCTTGACGCTCAGCACGCCGTACTGGCAGGCAGCCTCGTAGTATTGCACCGCAGTCTCTGCATCAATGCTATCCACCATCACCTCGGCGCACTTGTCAATGATGCCGTCCAGGTGGAAGAGTGTCGCAGTTGCCAGCACGGGTATCACATCTTTGGGCTCGATCGCAATTTCATCGGAGTACATTGAGCCAAACACAGCATCCAGACTATCCACATTGATCCGATCGTCGAGTATTTTAATATTCACAAAATTCTGCTGCGCCTCCTTCCACGATCCATTGAACATGCTATAGAAGTACGGGCTCTGGCTAAGGTAGACCTTGTGCAGATGCCAGACTTTGTCCAGTGCCATCACGGCCACATCCGAGTTCTTCTGCTCCTTGAACAGCGCCTTGTATATATACTGTGTGGTTGTCAATAGTTTTTTTCTGCAAATCAAAACGATTTTGTGTTTTAGTAAACAGTTAAGATCGATCATCATTTTCCCACTAACTTTTTTGGCGATTTGGCCTCCTGCTCAGCGCGTTCGCGATCCTGCTGCGATACCGTCGATTCTGTGCTACGCCTTCGCTTACGTCGTCCACTCAACACCTCCACCACATTGCTCTGCATGGATCCGACGATCTGACCCATGTTTCTGAATCTGGCTCCAAATTGGAGTACTCACGCCTAAAATGATGGCAAATATCAGATATTTGTGAAGCGTTCAATTCCGATTACCATCTTAGTCCAAAGAGTTACGAAATAAAAAGAAAATTTAAAAACAAAACTAAAACTTAAATATTGTTTTTTTTTTATTTTTTAACCAATTTTCAATTTTAACTTCTTAAGGAACCACGAAATTAGACTATCGCTCTATCTGTAGAGTCTTTTCTTGTCTTCTAAGCTAACTCCACTACCTACAGTAAAAAATATAATATAATACTGATTAGAATGGCGTACGTATTTCGATAGTATTGAAATATACATATGTATGCATAAAGCACGCTCCCATCTTTATTTCAAGTTACATTTAAACATCGATGTTTTTGGGTTATTGAAACAGGTTGCGTGCGCCTTTATTGTTTATGTACACAAAGTTGACCCAATTTTCGGGTCCGCCCACTGCGGATCCCTTTAATAGGTCAAAAGTAGTGGGTGACCGATTGATTAGGTATAAAATTTCTTAAACTTTTTGAGTGCAGTTCGTGTATTTAATCTATCACCTCGCTCTCTCCTCGTCTTTGACGACCAGCAGATGATGTCACCAATATGTGTAGCCTGCCTTCAAGAAGGTGGCCCGTTTATTAATAGAATATTATCTTCCATAGAGTCGAACTCTTTAAATACATACAAATTCACATGCAAACGCATTTGTTTATGTTTTATTCTGCCTTCTGCTGTTTAGCCTATTAACATGTTTGCTGCTGGATGTTGTAAGCGTGTCAAGGCCGTTGCTTATAAAAAAATAGAGCTTTGATTTTTTTCACTTTGTTTACAACATGTTTCTATGGGCTTGTATACTCCATATCGGAAATTACGCACTCATCCATCCATATGCCAGTCAAATGCTCGCGAGTCGCGAGTATTTGTTGCCATGCACACACACACATACATCTATGAGCACACACACTTGCACACATCTAGCTACCAAGTTTGTTTTGGTGCGACGCAGTTAAAGCTCTCAAAACCAGTTTGAGCACACTTTTCTTATAAGACCAAAACAAGAAATTCGATTGCAACGCCTGAAAATTACGTCACTAAACACACAGAGCGCAACAGCGTGGAAGCGACTTAGAGATGCAAAGAGAGCGCAACTGTGAATGAGAGACAAGCAAAGAGAGAGGACGCTAGCGCTGTTGTTATTTTAAACACTGATGATATCAGAAATAGAGCTTGCTGCATTCGTTCCATTCAATGGATTATATGCAACTCAGCGAAAAATATATACTAAATAAAAACGAACAATAAATACTCTTGCAGACTTAAAAAAAAAAAAAATTAATGTTGCCCGATGAGTTACGGCCAAATAACGTGAGTTATCGTCAAAGAAGCCAACAAGATCGGGCGGACCGGAACGGGATTCGAACTCGCGCTGCTTAGCAGCACTCTTCAAAGCAGAATCAAAACGTTTAGACGGCTGCGCCATCCTCAACATTGGACAGATAACAGCAAATTGTCTATGAAACTCATTTTTATGTATTTTGGGTAAACAAATAAATATGAGCACATATTTATTTACATACACACGCTGTATATGGTTTGATAAATAGTTTCGTTTTTTATGTTATACATACAAATATATATGTATGTGTATGTAGAGTGTAGAGGTTCAGCGAACTTGCCCGATATGCCCAGCTGTTCGGCTATGGATCGGCCAGACGAATCTGATTGGGGCTGTGGCGGGCGTGCAGTCTACCTAAAATTTACTGTCGTGCGGCACTGATAGCACGATGGTTTATATAGCCTTATACATGAGTGTTTATAAATATACATATGCATATATTATATACATACACAAACATATACAGTCTTTAAGACTTTTCGAAATAGATGCGAGTAGGAAATATATCACGCTCTCATCCCTCTGCCAATCAATGCGATCTCTCCCACTCACTCTCTCTTTCACTCTTCATACTGCGTTCATACACACATGTTATCTATGGCGATGCTGTTATTACCAATGTAACAGTAAATCGCCACTATAAATAGCTAAGAAAAGTAAATTTTGGGAACATGTGGGGGAGAATTGCAGAATACGAAAGCAACGACGCAGTAATATGTTGTTTGTGTTAGTGAGTGCGTGGTGGTGAGAGCGAGCTTGGTCTCTCTCTCTCACTCTCTCTCGCGCACCAAAGAAAACAACAGCGATAGACGCAAAATGCAACTGAAAACACACACAAAAACAATCATATATGCATACACAAATAACTGGTGAACTGATAAAAATGCGAAAAGGGAATGCAATACTGCACTTACTGTAAATGTGGAGTTACAGTTTTGCTTTGTTTTAATTTATGTAACTAGATTATCACTTCACTTTATGTAAATTTACCACCACAATAGTTCATACAGTCTTTAAATCATTTGTTTATGATATAAATATTCTAATATTTCTATTTAACTTTCAGTTTTCTTTTGTTAACACTAAAGCTTTGTGCACTCCTCCGCGCACCAACCGTTCCCTTTCATGAATCTCAAGCGACTCTCAATCATTCGCGTTTCGCTAGATGAGAAATAAACAACAATAACAAAACTGTGGTCGAACTGTTATTATTTACAGTTCTGTTATTGTTAACAGCACAACATTAAACAGCTGCTCGCAATTCAGGCAAGCTTTTAAAATTTTGCAATGCTCAATTTGTATTTCTTAATTATTTTAAGCAAACAAGTTGTTGATTACTTCATTTGGCCGCCCGTTAAAACATTAACATAAACCTAAAACCTTTTAACAGCGATAATCTGCTGCCTATCTTAAAACTCAGTCAGTTTCTGATGGTCTATAATAGTTAATTTGTTTAGGGCTTTTAAGGAATTATTAGAAAAAATTTGAAGCTTTTATAATGATCATTTAAACTTGCCCATCGCATTTCAGTTTATTTACAAATTAAATTTGTTTTAAATTTTGCAATGCTAAGCTGTTAAATTCAAAATCGTTGATACTTTCGATTAATGTGTTATCGCCAATGGCGTCCATCACTAGCAGTTTTGCCATTCACTGCGTTTACATTTGAAAATTAGATTTAAAGAATTGAAAAAAGAAATTAATATCAACATCAACATTATGAAAGTGACTCCAAAGAAACCACGCGCCACAGCTATAGAGGGCACACTGCGCTCGCGTGAATCCCGCAAAGAAGCTGCAAAGGATGAGTCCGAAGCACCACTCCCGTTGCTCCAAATCGACGACGACATGGAATCCGAACTGCCCATACGAGGACGCCCCTCCAAGAAACTGCAACTGCAAAAGCAACTACAACGTGCTCAATCCAATGCCAAACAGCAAGCCGAAGTGAAGAGTGATTCCGCAGCAGAAGCCGAAGCTGAAGCACCAACAACATCTGCTAATGCAACTGGGTCAGGAAGATCCAAAGCCAAACGGTCGCTTTACAAAAAAAGCGGGAACAATGCAGCCCAAAAATCACACAGTGAAAGCTATGTAATGCGCCTCTTCGAACGCAGCCTCGATCTGTCCAAGTACAAAGAGAAAACACCGCTCTATCCCATTTGCCGCGCCTGGATGGCCAACCAGCCACGCAATCCCAACGTGGCGGTCTACAACACAGACGGCACAGTGCCCATAGTTAAGCGTGAGGACGATGCCGAGGAGGTTCTCAGCAAATTGCTGAGCGGCGAATTGAAAGTTTTGAAGCAAATGCCACAGGCGCGCAAAACCGAGATGTCACCCATTCCACCCCGACTGCCCAACCCCCAGGACGAGAAGCTGAAGGGCGCCAGCAAAGAGGAGCTGCTGGCCGAGAATATCGGCCATTGGAAGCGGGTGCGCAGTCACTGGCTGAAGCATGCGCAGAAATATGAACGCGAACGCTACGAAATAATTGACCAGATAATGGATGCTGTGTGCAAGCGAGAATGAAAATGCAATTTTAATATAATTTCACTTGAATAAATCTTTATTTGTAATTGCGTTTGCCTTTTTCAATGATCTGTGTGTGCTTGGTAATTAAGTCTAATTTCATCTTTCATTCATTTCTTTTTCGTTTTGAATATAATTAAAATGCTGTTGGATTGTTCTTGTTTGGTTCTGTTGCCACTGCCGGAGCGCGCGCCAGGTTCTTGTTGATGTGTACGAGTGCAAGTGTGTGTGTGTGTATAACAGTGCTTACACATGGAAACACACACACACACAGGCAGGGTCTTCGGCTGTTTGCTGCATTCGAACACTTTATTCGACCTTGAGCAATTCAACGTCGAAAGTCAAGGTAGAATTGGGAGGAATGACACCTGGATGGCCACGGCTGCCATAGGCGTAGTCAGGTGAGCAGATCAACTTGGCCCGCTGGCCAACGCTCAGCTGAGCAACGCCCTCATCCCAGCCGCGAATAACCTCACCCTTGCCAATGGTGAACTTGAAAGGCTTGTTGCGGTCCCGAGATGAATCGAACTGCAATTTGTAAATATAGAAAATAAAATTATCCACACTAAATACATTTCAATCAATTATCACTATTTACATACCTTGGTGCCATCGTCCAATGTGCCAGTGTAATGCACTGAAACTTTCTGGCCGTTCTTTGGGAAGGTGCTACCTGCAATGCGAAAGCGTGAGAGGGAGAGAGAAGGTATGAGTGTGAGATACATATATGTACGCATATAGTGTATAGAAATGTGTATGTGTATAGCGAACGGAAAAATACTTCTCTACCAAAATGCCGCAAATGTAAGGTTAATGCCATAATAATAACTAATATTAAAGAGCACTCTTCTTTTACTTACCATCGCCGGGGGAAATTGGAACAACTTGTACGCCCATTTTTACGTTTTTTTTTTAATATTTAAAATCGGCCTGCTAGAAAAAAGTAGCACGTTTTGCTCGTCGCGTCGAACAGAAAAACCAGAGATGGCACCAAATATGAAAAATGTCGATTAGCTTTACAAACACCGAGTACAATTCCAGAATCTTATCGATAATTTATATCGTTTTTGATATTCATACTCACTAAAAATAAAAGGCGCCAGAATTTGTTTTTCAAATTTGTATTATACTTTATTTTATAATTCTACTTAAATTTAATTCCACTTTCATCTATAACAATTTCCTCGTCATTCAGTATTCGCTTACCATTTGCTAGGCACTTCAATTGTAATTTGTGATCTATATTTATCGCTTTGCATGGAGCATAGGAGTTTTTTAAGAAACTGCTGTCCACTGTGTAAATGCAACAAACGTAAAATCTCTTGCAAATCTTGTTGATTTCCTCCAAAATATTCATATAGTATTTGTATTTACGAATTCGCACATTTTGTGGCAAATCAAGCCAATAAAATTCACACAATCCATCAATTGCAACAAGACTAATTCTTTCATTATCAAACAAAATATGATTGTCCAAAGCTTTTAAGGCCATGCGAACTTCTTGAGATGAAAAGCAATTTATAATTTCCAATGAATTTAAGCAGTTTTCACAAATCTCCTGCAATTGGACGCCTGTTGCATTCGGATTCGTATTCTTCACAGCGTCCTGCACAAGTTTTCCAAATATTTGATAGTCAATCTTATGGCTAATATTAATTAGGATAACATCACAATTTATTAGACAATTCGCAATAATTTGCATTAGTAGAAAAGTTTTCCCGCTTTTTCTTTTGCCAGATATTTCGACAAGTGATTTGGGTGCGGGTCCGCCTTTCGTAAATATGTTCGAGTTCAATTCGGTAATGCGTGGACGAGCCTCGCCCAACTGACGTAAATAAACATTAGCCGCCGAAGAAATATCCATTTAGAAGCGCATTTAAATTGTATTTATTAAGATTGTTTACACTTTTGCATTACCCTGCGCATTGAACAGGGCTGTTATGCAACTATCGTATATAATTCGTGTGTAGTGTTGGAAAATGTGAAAAGTCAACGCCGATAAGACAATTAAGAAATAAAAAATAAATTATGGTTGCAGCTCTGGCTGAAATTATAAAATATATTTAAAGCCAAAAAAAGAGAAACATTTGAGTGTAAAATAAATCAAAGTGCCTGGCAAAACATGTGTGGACTAATCGACAATTCCACTTGCCCCGCGTAGCTGTAAAACTCCCTAAATTTTGAACTGCAAAGTGCCAACTGCAACATGCAGGATGCTCCGGAGCCCGAGTCGAGCAGCAGCAACATTATCAATAAGCTGAAAAATGCTAAGCAAGTGGATAGCTCGGACGGAGAGATCGACGCGTGCACCATTTGCGGCAGCAGCAAATCGTCGTCCTCCGCTCTGCTCGATCTACGGGATAACGGCGTAATGCGGCGGCGTCTCAGCCGCGACTGGAAGCTGTCGGTAAGTGGGCCCAGTTAACAGCTGAAGTAAATGACAAATTCAATAATTTTGCAATATTCCAGGCGGATATAATCAAGACTACACTGCGCGCTATATGCGTGGAGTGCGTCTGCAAGCTGAACATGCACTCGGAGGTAACGCGGACGTTGATGCAGCGCCTGCAGCGCATAGCGGGCACAAGCATGCAGGCGGAGCGGCGGGAGTGTAGCCTGCCGATAGCGGATGCCGAGGTGTCCACAACTGGAGTGCCACTGCCACAGGAGGAGGATATTGGCACAGTGAGAACGGCTTCGTCTGCATCCACCTCCAGCTCGTCCTGTTTGGTGCTGCAGGCCTACTCGGCCCAGCCACCCGAATCGCCCACTGCCACCGAATCGGGTGGTCTGCGCAACAACAACAGCGGCAACGCCCTGGACGGCTGGAAGTGGCGCACTCGACTGGTTTGCCAGCACTGTGAGCGCGCCTACTTTCGCAAGGATCACTACACGCTGCACGTGCGTCGCTGTTGGCGTCAGCAGACACAGCGTCGACCCAAGTGCAGAGTGCTCAACGAGGCGGGCAAGGATGATGACGCTGAGGACGATGTGGACGTGGCAGATGCTGAGAATGGGGAACAATTGCGACAGCAGACGCCCCGCCATTCGCGCACCTTTCAATGCAAGAACTGCGACAAGGAATTTGCCGGCATCGTGGCACTGCGGCAGCACCAGCGCCTCACGCATCAGTGCAGGCACCGCTGCAGCCTGTGCGAGGCGGAGTTTGGCACGAAATACGAATGGGAGCTGCATCATACGATATGCAGTGCAAAGCAGGAGGCAAGTAGTGTCATCGCCATGGACTTTGCAGAGCATAGAGATTCATAATACTTCCTTTACCTCCACAGGCTTTACTCATGCAAGAATCTGCTACCAAAGCGCGCTCGACCCGTTCACGCTCGCGTGCCTGCTCCGTAGCCTGGTATGACGACTATGATGACGATGAGGATGAAGAGGAGGCTGAGGAGGATCAGCAGGAGAATGACGATGATGCCACCTCGGTGGCGGACACGATGTACACAAGGCGCATGAATTTCACTGGCGATTGGATAGTCAATCACAGTCGCAGCAATAGCAATAGCGCTTTAAATCTCTCCATGCTCTATGATGACTATGTGCTGGAGGAGTCTCAAATAACCACGGATAAGGAGTATGATCTCTATTTGCTGGATCTGCTCAAGACCCAGGTGCAGCTGAAGGCGTTTTCGTGCTTTGTGCCCAACTGTTGCTATCAAACGGATACGCTGGTGGATCTCATGAAGCACGACTACATGCAACACTGGAAGATGAGCTGGTTCTATTGCCACAAATGTGGTGATGTCTTTACCAGCAAGTGAGCGAAAGGATATACACACATACATACTCCATATATATATGATATAGATTATATTCATTATTTGTTATATTTTAGGGTCTTCCTTGACTACCATTTGCATCGCCAGAATCGCGGCGTCTACATCTGCCACAAGTGTCACGATGAGTTCGAGTTTCAGCATCAATTGGATCGTCATCAGGTGCTGCACAGCAAGGGCATCAATTACTATTGCAACTACTGCCGCCTGGAGTTTTTGAGCGAGGCCAAGCTGCTGGCCCACTGCGAGCATGAACGACATAGTCCCAACGATGAGCCACCTCTCATACATATCGAGCACGAGCTGTCCATCAACAATCCGGTGGCCAAGGAGCCTGTCCAGCTGCCGCGCTATACGGTGCGTGTGCTGAACATACCGCACATGCCTTGGATATCCAATCGGCCCATGCATTTGCCGCATCACAAACCCTTTCGCTTCGCCATCGGCATCTGCGAGTTCGATAATCGCAATCCACCCAACTGCGTGGGCTGTCTTTAGACCATGTCTATGTGGCATTCATTGAGCCTAAATCTTTGTATATATGTGTGGAGCAGCCTCTCCTGGTTGTCGAACTCTGATTTACAGTTTCCTTCATGTGCATTAGCTCTCATTTGATTTGTATACCCTGTATCTATGTATATGTGGTCGACCATGCTCGACTCAGTCTATGTCAAATGTACAGCTCTTAGCTCTTTCACTAGTTTCATTTGAATTGCTGCAATAGCACAAGTCTGATCGTGTCTCCTCAATAGATTTAGTACACAATTACACCTATATAAATATATATATATGTGTATATATATAGTTCAATAGATATTTCTATTTTTATATGCCAATTGTAAATGTTGTAATAAATATACGAGTTGACCATTGTTAAAAACGATCTCATATGAATTATATATGTATGTATAAAAGAAAACGCAATAATTATTTATTTATCATTTATGTATATATATATTTGTTTATATATATTTTCAGTCATTTTTATTTTGCTTGCTCTTTATATGCGGAAAATGTGTTTTTTGTTTTTACAATTTAGATTTGATTTTTTGTTGTTTTGTTTTTTATTACAATTATTTAAGAACTTGTATTCATAATTAACACTAAATTTTTTAATAACGTCAAAATACTTTGAAAATGTTTCTTTAATTATTTTTTTTTTATGTACACAGGGATTGTTGTTGTTGTTGTTGTTGCGGTTGTTGTTGTTAAACTTAAGAGTCGCTAGCTTAGCCTAGGAATTGTATAACAAATGAATTAACACTAAATAGAACTATATGCATATACGGGTATACGTCTATGGTATTCCCCCACTTACATGCATATTTATTTATGTTTATACTTACATAGAGCCTATTGCATTGCCCCCAGCGCATGTTTGTTTGATTTTTGCATCATTTTGTTTTTGTTTTCATTTTCTTTTTTTTTTTTTTTTCATTAACAACTAAAAATTATTATGAATTACAATTGAATTAGGGTTAATTAATTTAAATTTTTGTACGTTTTTAATTTGTATAAACGGTTGTGTGTTCGTATGTATGCATGTATGTGTGTGTGTGTGTGTGTGGGTGTAAGTCGGTGTCAGTCTTATAAAATTCAACCCAGGAAACTTCTTTTGAACTCAAATTAAAAAAAAAAGAAAATTCTAAACAAAATCTAAAAAATGATTAGACTAATTTTTTACGTTGTTGTTGAGCTATTTTCGAGGTAGTTCGGTTATAAGTTTCAAAATCTATTCATTTTTAGCATACATAACTATATGTATATATAATATATAAGCTAAATAATTTTTAAAACAAATCACTGGCATTTTAAGATAGTTGTACAAAGTATTGCTAACTCGTTTCTTGTTTCTTGTTTTTTGTTTTAATTTTTGTTTTTGTTGAAACTCATCTGGATTCTTTCTCAAATGCGTTCGTTTTTTTTCTTTTTTCCCTATTTATATATACTTTGAGCCTCTTCTGCTCTGCCACGCCCACTAACTTTCAGTCTTATGCAAGTGTACAGTTTCTTTTTGTTGACATAAGCAATGTGTGTGTGTGTGTGTCTGTGTGGGTGCTTCCTAAGTCTAGCCTAAGCCTAATCTATATCTCCCTATAGGTATACTCTATATTTATTTGCATAATTCTATTTCTTTTAGGCACAAAGTGATGCAGACAACAATTTAATTTTTTTTTTTTTGTAATTCGTGTTTGATTTTTTCATTTTCCCATTTTTTTGTTCCTTTTCTTTTGCTCTCATTCTAAAGGTGCAATAATTGGGTGGGTGGGTGAATTGTTTTTTTTTTTTTTTTTTTGCTGGGAAATGTTTTCTTTTTTTTTTTAATGATGTTTAAAGCTTCACTACCGCTAGATCGACGCCGAGGCGGCGAGTCGATGAAGATTGAGAACACAACAAAAATAAGTTTGAAGTTTAGCACGTTGAACGTCGAAACCCGAAAGAAGAAGAGTCTAAGTGTGCGTGTGTGTGTATAGGTGTGTGTGTGTGTGCGTGTGTGTGTGTGTAGGTGTGTGGCCTAGTATATGGAATCGTGGCTATCGGCTGCATACTGCCAGGCCATCGTTAGCATCAATCAGTCGGTGCGCGCCTGCGCCTCGTCGCTGCCCAGCAGCTCACGCTTGAGGCCCAGGCCCAGGCCCAGGGGCAGGTTGCTCATCGATGGGGATGTTGGTGAGGCTGCTTCTCTGGACTCCTCCAGGTGCTGTTCACGCTCACGCTCGCGCTCTCGCTCCTCCTCCATCTCTGCCGCCTCCTTGCCGTTTGTCGAGAGCGACGCCGAATTGGAGTGCATGATGACGCTGGCGCTCTCCATGGGCGAGGCGGCGCGCGCCTGTCCCGGGGAGTAGGGCGATTCGGGTCGCTCTTTGCGTGCCAGCGAGAGATCCTCCACCTGGTCGTGATCGTCCTCGTCGTCAGCGTCGCGCTCCTCCTCAATGGCCTCGCGCTTGATCAGGCGCTGCTCCTCGTGCTTCTCCTCCTCGGCGTAGTGGCTGGGCGAGCGCGCCGCATGCCCATTGGAGCCGGGCGGACTGCTGGACATGCGATTGGCGGCCGCATGGGCGGCGGCGGCCAGTGCCATGGCGTGCAGCGCCTCGCGGCCGGCTATGTCGCCGCCACGGTTCTCCAGCGCCTGCTGCAGGAAGGCGTGGTCGAGCAGCGC